GGGGGGGGGGTGGGAAGTAAGTGACAATAGGCAGGCTTCCTGCCATTCATGTGATCAATTAATGATTATAATTTATGATCATCTCCTTCCAAGCTCAAACAATAACCTCTAAATCTTGAAATTATGAACCAAAAGATATAATTCAAAAAATAGAATATTTACTGAAGGGTTCAATTCCTTGGCAGCAGCAGAAGTGAGAATGATTATAGAATACTACGGTAGTATAGTCACGTGGTACATCTTGTGTACGTGTTATAATATAAGAAAACATCATATTCAGAACAACTTTCTTTTATCTGTTAATGCAAGCCTTTGTTCTTGAGGAGTTGGCCTAACCCAGCTCAAGAAAACCAGGTTAATCAAAAACATCAATAACCTAAAAAATGATACATATTGATCAAAGTATTGAGGTTGTGCTATGGGCTCATTACCAGCTGTACATCTCTTTAAAAAGTCTTGGAGTTGCAGGATTCATTCAGCATATGCAGATGGAAAGAAATATTGTAGCTAGCTGATATATAAATAGGGCCATGAGCATGTGTTTGTTAGTTTTGGTTCGTTTTGGGCCTTGCCTTTACCCCCAAAGGAACAAAACCAAAACCAAAAGAAGCCTAGCAATCAATCAAAAACCTTGGACAAATTGGTTGGAAGATGAAGGCTGGTTTGAATTCATGGCCCTTTCGTTAATGAATCTCGCAAGAGAAGAGACTCGGATGAACTTGAATATCAATCTAAAAAGTGTAAATGGTTCTAAAACAGATCGTAAATGCAATACATGATGTTCATATAATCTTTCTTCGTTGATCAAGATAAGCAAGTATAAAGATATGGATTAGGTTGCTATAAATAAATAGATTACTTCTACTAAATTCAACATAAATAATTAATAAATGAAGAGACATACATGAAGCGGATAAATTTTAGACTATGTTTTTTGGGATTCGAACCACTTAGACTGTGTTTTTTGTGAGAGGATTCGAATTTGCGATCTCTTCCAACTAGTTGGTTAAAAATTGAAAGAATATAAATATATGAGTGTATTCTATGTACCTACCTATGCATAACTTAGGGTATATGATGATGAATGCAAATCCATTCACCTTATATCAACTGGTGACACGGTTTCATACAGATGACTAATATATTTCTCAACAATCATATCCAATATAAATAGAAAATAGGTAAGGTAGTGACAGAGAATCTAATTGTATTTAGGAACAACTAATCACAATAAAGAATCTCTATTTATTTGTCCTTTTATGGCTTGAGCAGTCTGTGAGCTGTGAATCTGCTGCTCAAATCAAATCTGTGTGGACCAAACATAAATAAATAAACAAAACTTAGATGAATAAAAAAGGAGAAATTATAAAATAATATGATAATACGGTCACGTGATATATATATGTTTTATAATATAGGTGGACAATAGGGTTGAAATTTCCCTCATAACATGTGAACAAGTTATACAACATTGCTGTAATTTTAATTCTTGACCAAATACACTAATATAAATTTATTGCAGCTTAAAAAAATAATTTTTTTTTTCCCAAATCAAGAAATTAGAAAGATAAAATTTATAGAAATTATTTAATAAAAACATTGCTTTGGCCATGAAAACAGCAAAGGGGCTGGCATGTTGAGTATCAATGTCAATGGGCCGCTGACGCGTTTTCGTTTGTACAAATCCATTTGGAAGTTTTGGACAGACAGCAAATAATTGCTCGGTAATATAAAATTAAGAGAGTTAAGAGAGAATTGAAGAAAGAGAGTAACTATGGAATTTCTCATCTTAAGCTCGTATCTTTCATCTTCATTGAGGTTTTTTTGGGTGAAATTTTGCTTGTGTTTTTGGACAATGACTTTAAATTACTAAAGTGCACACAGGTGCCAGTCGGAGTCAGAACGTAACACGTACACAAAATCTATGTTCCTCCAGGAACACACGCCGAGGATACTTTCGATATTTCGCCAACTAATTACTACTCAAAGTTGGCTCTGACTTCTAGGAAAGTGACGTCGTTTTCGGATATAGAGGAAAAAAAAATAGTGGAAAAAATAAGAAGAAAATAATTAATTTGGAGACAAATGGTAAGCTAGCAAGCACGTTAATAGGAGCGTGTGTATCTCTGCCACAGGAAAAAAAAATAAAAACGAAAACAATAAAAAAAATATTGAGAAGGGAGAAAAAGCACGAAACAGAAATTCAAAAAAAATAAAAAAAAATAAACATTACTCAATCTGATATTCGAGTTCTTCGTATATATAACGAGATTTTTTGTCTTCGGATTGTTGCTGCTATTATTCAATGTGGTGTGCATGCATACAAACAAACACGAGGGACTGGATTCAGAGAATTGATATTGCAAAATCGACGAAGATGGTAGCTGTTATATTATTGCTCTGAGATTTTCTGGGTACAACGAAAATTGGCGCCTTGGATCGAGAATTGAAGCGTTTGGGCATTGAATTGGGGACGAATCGATTTCTGGGTAGGAGGGTTTTCGCAGCTTTTCTCTACCTACCAACCCGTCTCTGTCATTCTCTTGGCGCTTTTGGTTTGTCTCGGTTTCTCGAGGGCACGTGCCGGCAATCTACAAGGTGCCCCCTTTCGGTTTTCACTGGAGGAAGATCTGGTTGCGGTTTCATCTTCATTTTACTTGAATCACAAGGTAAAATTTTAACCCAATTGTACCAAAAAAGAAGACTCTGTTTTTTTTTTGTTGTTGTGGTTTTTGAAATTTTTGTTTCTTAGTAGCAGAGTTTGTGTGTGTATAGACAAAGAACGTTTCTTTTTTATGTTGGTGTTACTTGGGGATTGTTTTTTAATGTGTGGTTTGTTTTTGCATAGGGGAACTTATTGGGTTACGCGTGGGAGTGATTGGAGACAGATGGGTGTGAGTTGGGTCACAGAAAGAAGCGTGCTTTAATCTCAATGGTAGTGGTTAAGAAGGTGTTTGGGGTTTTGAGCTTCTGGGTTTTCTCAATCCAGTGTTCCTCTTTGTGTTCATTTTAACTTTGGGACTCGGGTTAGTTTTGTTTGGCAAATTGAGCTGTAGTCTGAGGAATTTTTTTTTTTTTTGGGATCAGAAGTTGAATTGTGCGGGAAGTAGGATCTTGGTGTACAAATTTGAATTTAAGATTAACTCAAGGTATGCCTTGTTTTTTCTTTTCTTGCCAGGTTCTGTTAGAGGAGAAGTCATCTCTTGAATTGAAATAGAGAGCCAGGAGCTGCCTTAGTGCTTTCAGAAGTTGCTACCGATGGGTGATTGATGAGCAAAGAATAAATGCGCTAAGTGTCAATCAGAAACTTTAGTGTTTTGATTTTGGTAGGCTTTTTTCATTTGGGGTGAATTTAGCCCAGTTGCTATCAAGAACATGATTGTTAAGAGCGGTGATAAGAATATTTAGTGCTTTAATTTTGGTATTGTTTGGACACTCCACCTTTCATTGTGGTAAATTGGTCAACCATCTAGAGTTTGGCTTGTTAAGAGTGGCAAATGAGCAGGGCAGCAGAGTCGTTTGTCGATGGCTGCGCCCAACAAGGTATTCTCTCATTTCATTTCCATGCTGAAATCGTTGATCCCTTGGCGTTCAGAGCCAGCTAACGTTTCGAGGGATTTTTGGATGCCTGATGGTAGCTGTAGGGTATGCTACGAGTGTGATGCACAGTTCACTGTTTTTAACCGTAAACATCATTGTCGACTTTGTGGAAGAGTTTTCTGTGCTAAGTGTACAGGAAACTCAATTCCTGCCCCTTCTGGTGACCCAAGGACAGATCGGGAAGATTGGGAGAAGATTCGTGTATGCAATTATTGTTACAAGCAACGGGAGCAAGGCATAGCTATTCCTGATAATGGAATCTCAATTAACAACATAGATCTTAGTACATCGCCATCAGAAACAAGTTTTGTTAGCTTTAAGTCTTGCTGCACTGCTAGCAGTAGTAGCTTCACTCTTAACTCAGTGCCATATTCAGCTGGACCATGTCAACGACACCAACATAGTCCTGGTTTTAGCCCATGTCAATCATCTCTAATGAGTACTAGCACAGAAAAGCAAAGTAAATTCGCATCCTGGAGAAGCAATGATTTTGTAGCGGATATAGGGGATCCATCGACAAACCATTATGAAATTTCAACAACCCGGTTTGTATCTCCTCTGTGCTTCATGTTGGATCCACACTAGGACATGTCTAAAGCCCTTGTTTACATATTCTTTCGTCCAGAAACTTCTTGTTATTATTACTCCAATTGTGGTCTGCATTTTAAGTTATTGATGATCCTGATTCTATGCATAATTTAGAAGATAACAACGAATAAAATTTAAAAGTTTTTCTGTTATTTAAGCTTGGAAATTGATATATACTTAGTAGCGTTGTTAGCAGCTAGTAGCTACTAATTGGTTATTTATTCTTTGGCATCAGGAGTGATGATGATGATGTTGAGTATGGTGTATATCAGTCAGATTCGAAGAATTATCCTCATGCCAATGACTACTATAGTCACATTGAGTTTGATGAGATGAGCAATGACGATGGATCAAATAAGGTGCATCCTGATGGTGAGAATATTGATGCAAAGAATTTAAGCAGCTCCTCATTACTTCACAGTTTTGACTCACAGAGTTTGGAGGGAATCCCACAGCTTGGAAAAAAAGAAGATGAGCATGATACTGGTGATGAATGTGAGGCATCTTCCTCATTATATTCTCCAGGGGATGTTGATGCAGAACCTGTGGATTTTGAGAACAATGGACTGCTCTGGCTCCCCCCTGAACCAGAAGATGAAGAAGATGAAAGGGAAACTGTTTTGGTTGATGATGATGATGATGGTGATGCTACAGGAGAGTGGGGGCGTTTACGTGCATCAAGCAGTTTTGGAAGTGGGGAGTATCGCAATAGGGACCGGTCAGGTGAGGAGCACAAGAGGGCCATGAAGAATGTGGTTGATGGACACTTTAGGGCTTTGGTAGCTCAGCTATTGCAGGTTGAGAACCTTCCTATAGGCCAGGAAGGAGAAAGTGAAGGTTGGCTGGAGATCATTACATCTCTGTCTTGGGAGGCTGCTACACTATTAAAGCCAGATATGAGCAAAGGTGGAGGGATGGACCCAGGTGGTTATGTAAAAGTTAAATGCATAGCTTCTGGATCTCGATGCGATAGGTAAATGGTGCATTATGATTTGGATATGTCATGTATACTTCTACTACACATCATTGATTTAATGGCTTTATTTTTCTGCAAGAATGATAAATGAAACACGGGGGAAGCTATACTAGCGCAAATTACTATTGCATAGTTATCCACTTTGTAATAACAAAAGAAGAGATATTTCAATAATCATTTTAAAGAGAATTCTCTATTTAGATCTAAAAGGCACCAGTGTTTCTTTTCTATGAATGCAAGACTATTCAATCTCTACTTCTTAATTCATATTTAATGAATAGAGCTAAGTTTTCTCTACTTTTTTAAGTGGATTTGTTCTTATGAATTATTGCAATGCATATTTAACATGAGTTAAACTGCTAGGGATGTTCTTGGATATGATACCGTCCGGTTCATAGTTGTACGCCTGTAATATTTTCTGTTTTTGAGCTTATGCCTGCTTAGATTGTACTGACGAGTTTGAGGGGAAAAAATAAAGAAAACCCTGCATTAGATTGTACTGACGAGTTTGAAGAAAGATTGCACGTGCCGTTGTCACGTGATCCATGAGTTTATGCCTACTTAGATTGTACTGACGAGTAACTTTTTTTTAATCATTAGGGGAAAAAAGAAAGAAAATCCTGCACTTTAATTCAAATGTGTGTATTTATTGTAGTTGATATGTGGGGGATTATAGCTCCAGTGTTATGGATTTGACTATTGCCCTCCCCGTTGTCTGAATCAAAATATAAAGAATATTGTTGCTGTAGAAGCTTTTGAAAAGGTTGTTTGTTTTCTAAGGTTTTAATTTCTTTTCTTCTAGTATGGTGGTCAAAGGAGTTGTGTGTAAGAAAAATGTGGCTCATCGACGAATGACATCAAAAATAGAGAAACCTCGGTTTATGATCCTTGGTGGCGCTCTTGAGTACCAGCGTGTTTCTAACCTCTTGTCAAGTTTTGATACTCTGTTGCAGCAGGTTGTGATTGTCTAATCTTCTCTCCTCTTAGTTTTTCACTTGATGGTTTCTAGTGCATTGGAAACTATGTTTTTTCCTTAATTACCAAAAAAAAAAAAATCATTCTTATGCGCTTATATCCTTATCTAGGAGATGGACCACTTAAAGATGGCAGTAGCAAAGATCGATGCACACCACCCAGATGTTCTTCTTGTAGAGAAATCAGTTTCTCGATATGCTCAGGAATATCTTCTTGCAAAAGACATATCACTTGTTCTGAATATCAAGAGGCCACTTTTAGAGCGCATAGCTCGCTGCACAGGTGCTCAAATAGTGCCGTCAATTGATCATCTCTCATCGCAAAAGTTGGGCTACTGCGATTTATTTCATGTGGAGAGGTTCCTGGAAGATCTTGGTTCCGCCGGTCAGGGTGGGAAAAAACTGGTGAAGACATTGATGTATTTTGAAGGCTGCCCGAAGCCATTGGGTTGTACTGTAAGTCCTCAAAACTAACATATGATAGGGACCATGATCACTTTATAACAAATTGAATAAGGTAAAAGTTCAAAAGGCTTATAAATAGCATGGTTGCACGCATCCACAAAGATGATGGCTATCAGTTGTTTGCGGGTAGTGGTTCCTGATCATTTTGCCAAGACCCGCAGAATTGTGGTCTCAGGCTACTCCCAACTACACCTATTTATGAAGATTGTTTTAATATGACACTCAGCTTATTTGTTATCCTTGTATACTGTACATGCAATTCTGCAATGCTGTGACATATTCATTTATCTATCTTGTCTATGCCATTCCAGATTTTACTTAGAGGTGCTAATGGGGATGAGTTGAAAAAAGTGAAGCATGTGGTTCAGTATGGGATTTTCGCGGCATATCACTTGGGTTTGGAGACATCCTTCCTTGCTGATGAAGGAGCCTCTCTGCCGGAGCTCCCATTAAATTCTCCAATAACTGTGGCACTTCCAGATAAAGCATCAAGCATTGAGAGGTCCATCTCAACAGTACCTGGTTTTAGTGTTGCTGTCAATGGACAGTCTCTGGGAGTTCAACCTCACAATGAGCCACGAAGATCCAACAGTGTCCCAGTTTCAGATTTGAATTCAGCCATTAACAGTATACAGCCTTGTGTACTTAGTGGTCGTACCTCTCTACCCACGCATCCCACTTCACATTTCACCAATTCTACTGCTTTATACTCTGCCGCATCTGGGAATGTTTCAGATTCTTATCATAATAGTCTTTCTCCTTACCACATATTTGATGATCAAAATGAAATGGGTTCCAAAGAATCTTCAGTAGTGAAAGCTTCTGCAATCAAAAATGGCTCTGATATGACGTCTAATCATCTCATTGTCAATAGCATGAGGCCTTTAGAGGCTTTGGGACAAGGTATCTTGGCCAACACCCAAAATGATCAAAGTGTAAGTATTGGAAATCAACTAGGTGGTTCAGACAATTCATTGCTTCATCAAGATGGTAATACCCAGGTTGAGGACCCAGAACCTATGAATGAAGAGTTTCCTCCATCACCTTCTGACCATCAGAGCATTTTGGTTTCCTTGTCATCCCGGTGCGTGTGGAAGGGGACTGTCTGTGAGAGGTCTCATCTGTTTCGAATCAAATACTATGGCAGTTTTGATAAACCTTTAGGACGGTTTTTACGGGACCATTTATTTGATCTGGTGAGTTCTTTTTGACTTTTATGTTCTTTCTTTTTTGGAACTTTGTGATACAACTTGAAACTGAAAACGCTTAACTATGTGTCAGAGTTATCAATGCCATTCTTGCGAGATGCCATCAGAAGCACATGTTCATTGTTATACTCATCGACAGGGTACACTCACTATATCTGTTAAGAAGCTACCGGAAATTCTCTTACCAGGTGAGAAGGAAGGAAGGATCTGGATGTGGCATAGATGCTTGAGGTGTCCAAGGATCAATGGATTCCCTCCGGCTACTCGCAGAATAGTGATGTCTGATGCTGCATGGGGTTTATCATTTGGGAAGTTTTTGGAGCTCAGTTTTTCAAACCACGCGGCTGCAAGCAGGGTGGCGAGCTGTGGCCATTCTTTACATAGAGATTGCCTTCGTTTCTATGGGTATTTTTGCAGTCTCCCATAATTTGAACATGTGGTAACATACAAATTACAATATGATTGATATGATAGTTTTTTCTTCTGTGTGTTGGGTTGAACCTGACTCTGTTGGTTATGCATAATTCAGTTGGACGATGTTAGCCTCCCACTTTTATCATCTCTTGTTAAATTTCAAGTATATGCTAAAAATAACTTCATCGTGGCCACTCAAGTACTCACACGACTAGCACATACCAAACTGATATACGGGTTGAATGATAATTTCCTAAATCTCCCTCTCTCTCTCTCTCTCTCTCTCTCTCTCTCTCTCTCTCTCTCTCTCTCTCTCTCTCTCTCTCTCTCTCTCTCTCTCTCTCTCTCTCTCTCTCTCTCTCTCTCTCTCTCTCTCTCTCTCTCTCTCTCTCTCTCTCTCTCTCTCTCTCTCTCTCTCTCTCTCTCTCTCTCTCTCTCTCTCTCTCTCTCTCTCTCTCTCTCTCTCTCTCTCTCTCTCTCTCTCTCTCTCTCTCTCTCTCTCTCTCTCTCTCTCTCTCTCTCTCTCTCTCTCTCTCTCTCTCTCTCTCTCTCTCTCTCTCTCTCTCTCTCTCTCTCTCTCTCTCTCTCTCTCTCTCTCTCTCTCTCTCTCTCTCTCTCTCTCTCTCTCTCTCTCTCTCTCTCTCTCTCTCTCTCTCTCTCTCTCTCTCTCTCTCTCTCTCTCTCTCTCTCTCTCTCTCTCTCTCTCTCTCTCTCTCTCTCTCTCTCTCTCTCTCTCTCTCTCTCTCTCTCTCTCTCTCTCTCTCTCTCTCTCTCTCTCTCTCTCTCTCTCTCTCTCTCTCTCTCTCTCTCTCTCTCTCTCTCTCTCTCTCTCTCTCTCTCTCTCTCTCTCTCTCTCACTGTCAATGTGTACTTATGCAGATTTGGGAAAATGGTTGCTTGCTTTCGGTATGCATCAATTGATGTTCATTCTGTCTACCTACCACCTGCCAAACTGGATTTCAATTATGAGAAGCAAGAATGGATACAAAAAGAAACAGATGAGGTACAATTGCCATATAATTGGATATTTCATGATTGCATTGCATTATTGCTTTATGTAGCTGATTTGTTTATCTGGTTATATTAGGTTGTTGAACGGGCAGAGCTTCTTTTTTCTGAAGTACTTAATGCTCTTCGTCAAATTGTGGAGAAAAGATCTGGTTCAGGGTCACATACTAGTGGCATGGTAACACCTGAATCAAGACACCAAATTGTGGAACTGGAAGGAATGTTACAAAAGGAGAAGGTGGAATTTGAGGTGAGGCCTTCAATTATTCATGTGCCAAGCCTTAGTTACTGAATTTCATGTCAAGAATCTAAGCTTTATGCATGGCTAGTTGATATATATATATATAGACTTTTTCTTTTCCTTTTCTTTTCAACTGCACATTAACTGGATGAACCAGATATAATACTTTATCAATCAAGTTCCATCTTATATGCATTCTGATTCATCTACAAGCTCCTTTAATGTAACATGAGTGATGGAAGTATCTTTGATTGTCACAAAACTTTCTTGTCACTTTTATCTATAATCTTGTAGGTTTTATAGTTTTATTTTCATCAATAAAGTCTTGTCGATGAAGATGGTATTCTAACCAATCTTTGTATATGAAATAAATTCTGTTTTTTGATAATTGGCTTATCATATTTTTGTTGACGCTTTTTTTAGGAATTACTCCAAAAAACTTTGAACAGGGAAGCTAGAAAGGGACAACCTGTTATTGACATTCTGGAGATCAATCGATTGCGAAGGCAGTTGCTTTTTCAATCTTATATGTGGGACCACCGCTTGATTTATGCAGCCAATTTAGATAACAACAGCCTCCAGGACGGTTTGAACAGCTCAGTTCCCGATGAGCGGAAACCTGTGGTTAATAATGGAAATATTGCTGATATGAATGTGGCAATAAACCCAGGAAAATGTTATAATAGTTGTGATTCCTTTCTAGTGGATTCAATGCTTAACAAAGAATTTGAACACGGGGGAGACTTTGATAGCACTGCCGATACTGACATGGTTTACAAAGAGAGAGACATTGGTCAAGATTCAAATAATGAAAAGGAAGATCAAGCTAATCTCCCTGGTGAAGTGAGCATCTGTGATCAATCTGAACCTTTGAAACCAAGGACAAGTATGCGTAGGACTCTCTCTGATGGCCAGTTTCCTATAATGGATTTGTCAGATACCCTTGACACTGCATGGACCGGTGAAAATCAAAGTGGAATTGGAATAGCAAAGGACAATACCTGTGCTGTTCCTGTTTTAGCAATGGCAGATTCAAATGCCTCTCCAGTGAAAGAGGGATTAAATTTAGACCATGCAGAATACCAGAATGGTCCCAAGGTTGCCCATTCTGTTTCACCTGCATTGTCGACGAAGGGGTCTGAGAATATGGAAGACTCTGTAAGCTGGTTAAAAATGCCCTTTTTAAATTTCTATCGTGGGTTCAATAAGAATTTTTTATCCGCTGCTCAGAAGCTTGACACACTTGGTGAATACAATCCAGTCTATGTTTCATCCTTTAGGGAGTTGGAACTGGAAGGTGGGGCAAGGCTGCTTCTTCCTGTGGGTGTTAATGATACTGTTGTCCCTGTATATGATGATGAGCCCACAAGTCTTATAGCCTATGCCCTTGTATCACCAGATTATCATTTGCAAACAAGTGATGAGGGGGATGCTAGTTTTTCTGATTCACTGACTATGCAGTCACACCATCCCGATGATGACACGGCTTCTGAATCTCATCGAAGCTTTGGGTCTACTGAGGAAAGCATTTTATCTTTATCTGGATCTCGTAACTCCCTGGGTTTGGATCCGCTTTCGTATACAAAGGCTTTGCATGCAAGAGTTTCCTTTGGAGATGATGGCCCACTTGGTAAGGTTAAATACTCTGTGACATGTTACTATGCACATCGTTTTGAAGCCTTAAGGAGGATTTGTTGTCCTTCTGAGCTTGACTTTGTAAGATCCCTTAGTCGTTGTAAAAAGTGGGGAGCCCAAGGTGGGAAGAGCAATGTCTTTTTTGCTAAAACCTCGGATGACCGGTTTATCATCAAACAAGTCACCAAGACAGAGCTGGAATCTTTCATAAAATTTGCTCCGGGATATTTCAAGTACCTATCTGAATCAATTGGCACAGGAAGTCCAACCTGCCTAGCAAAGATTCTGGGGATATATCAGGTACTTTTGTGTTACCCTCAAAAGCTGTCAACTATTCTAGTCAGATTAACCTGACAACTTTAGTAACAAGTATTTTCTACTACTACTGCTACTACTAAATATTGATACCATATCTTGCTGCATCAACTACATTATTTTTCTTGATACTTACTCTTTCTATGGTTGGATTTGTATTGAAAGGTTACATCAAAGCATCTTAAGGGCGGGAAAGAATCAAAGACAGATGTTTTGGTTATGGAGAATCTTCTGTTCGGAAGGAATGCGACACGGCTCTATGATCTCAAAGGATCTTCACGGTCTCGTTACAATCCTGATTCTAGTGGGAGCAACAAAGTTCTGCTGGATCAGAACTTGATTGAAGCAATGCCGACATCTCCAATATTTGTGGGAAACAAGGCAAAGCGTTTGTTGGAGAGAGCTGTCTGGAATGACACTGCTTTTCTTGCTGTAAGTTTTAAAACTCTCCTCTTTTTGTGTGCGCTCGCATGCCTTGTATGAGCATGTTCTGATTGGGGTATCCTGTATTCCCGTATAGTGTATACTAAACATAGATTAATCCCTTACCCATTATAATGTCTTTACTGGTGCTGATGCAGTCAATTGATGTAATGGATTATTCATTACTGGTTGGGGTGGATGAAGAGAAGCATGAGTTAGTACTTGGAATCATTGATTTTATGAGGCAGTACACATGGGATAAGCACCTTGAAACTTGGGTTAAAGCTTCAGGCATCCTTGGTGGACCAAAGAACGCATCTCCAACTGTAATTTCACCGAAGCAATACAAGAAAAGGTTCAGGAAAGCAATGACAACCTACTTTTTGATGGTTCCAGATCAGTGGTCTCCTCCCTCTATTGTTCCAAGTACATCCCATTCTGATTTCGGCGAAGATGCACATGGTGGTAATTCGGTTGAATGACACTGAGTCAGTCCACATGTACATTTAAAGCATGTGATTCAGGAATTGACCCTGCCACATGATTTCATTTTTTCATCATTCATTCACTTTCCTTTCTTTTTTGATATCCCAATTCTTTTGTATAGCAGTGTCATTTGCATTTCATCTTTACATGAGAAATTCATGATTATTTTGTTAGAAGATGCAGAAGAAGGCCGTCGAAGCCATGGAAATTTTGGTCGGGGATATATAATTGGATGACCTCTCCATGAAATCCTTATAGGGATATGATTCTTGATGTATTTAGCATTACAACATCTATATTCAGTGAATCGTTTAGTCTTGTATATCTGTACATTAGATTGATGTTAATTTGCAATTCAATTTTGCTCTCTTCCAAAGTTTGGTTTCTGTTGGTTCATGTGGCTCAGTCTCTATGTGCATGTGTGCCCTTGTGTGTTTTTTAAACTGGTGACCAGAACCATGACTTCCGAGTCTAAAAATGAAAAGCCTGTGGACTGCATATCTGCCAGTGGACCTGCAGCCGTTCCAGTACTAAAAGGATTGCTCATATCTTGACATAAATAAAGGACAGTTCTAGTCAAAGGTCGTTAAGAAAACCCAAGCATAGGACTTGGTCAAAGAACACCTAAAATAAAAGAAAATAGAAATTTATATTATCTTTTACTATCCATGTAATTGCTTATTGAAATGAGAGAATTAGTGAACTGATTTTCATATACCATTTTGTTTTCACACACATTGCATTGATGCTAGAACTTGAACTCAGGATCTTGTCAGAAGAAGCAAGTACTCCAAATTACTACACTAGTGGGTCATTTGACAATATATCACGGAAGGAGAAAGCATTGGGCATTTGACCCTCTACATTCCGGGAAAAAACAAAGAAAAAAAAAGAAAAAAGAATTGTGCTTCAAAGACATTGCATTTATGCATGATAATCAATTATATGATTCATTGAAGGATATGCCTTTCTTTATATATACGTTACATAATTATAATTGGGGGCATATTAAAGTTGTGGAACCATTTTATATAATTTGACAAGAGACTTAACACTTGGGTTGAGCTGATTAGCGGTGAGTGTTGAAGCCATTGCAGTTTTTGATGTCCTCTTGCAGAACAACACTGCCTTTATCAGCACGGTTCAATTCTGTGTCTGTGATAAAATTAAGCCACCTTTGTTGTTGAAGTAGATCAAAGATCTCAGCGTCTCTGCTGAACTTGACCAAAACCAGTAAATAATCAGATGAGCCTAAAGTAAACTAGGTGATCAATTTCATAATCCATGCTTAATTGTGTTAAGATTGTGATTAAGATTATGATTAATTGATCATCTACCTGGGTTGACAACCTGTTCTTGGATTCTGTTGGTGATAATATCTAGGACCCTCATCAAATCCTTCACAAATTATTTCACCTCTGTCATCTTTGTAGCAAATAATTCCATTGGACCGATCCTCAAAAACCTGTAACAAGAAAAGAAAAAAAAAATACAATCAGATATTAACAAGAAATGTTTGTTGAACAAATCCCATTTCACCCCATTTTGTTTTAGAAAAGAAAAAAAAAAGTTGGTGACTGATGCTGATTTTCAGGGTCTTCTTCTGTGAAAAAAAGTTGTTGTGCAGGTAAAATTCTTGCCTCAGTGACTGGAAACAGGAAAATTAGTGAGAAAAAAAAATATTGACCTCTTCTCTCAAGGAGCATCTGATCTTGAGTGTAGAGCTTTTGATCTTGACAGAAACTTGACAGTGTTTGAGCCTCAAAACTCTGCTGAAAGGCCTTATTGCTGGACCAGATTTTTGGGTTGAGATACAAGGGGAGAAGCAACATGTTGCAGCCATTGATCTTATGTGACAGAAAGAAGAGGAAGAAGAAGAAGAAGCAGTGGATGAGGAAGAAGAAGTTGTACTGTATTGTTGGTCGGGGCTGTGGCTTAACCAGAAATAGAATGATGCTCTAGTCGTATAAGTATTTTTCTGGTTTTGCAGGATGATCAAGTACAGATATCAAATTCAATTATTGATGGGTTATGTCTTATCATGGTGCATTATTTTAGTAAATATAGAACTCTTGGGCCCATCTTGCTTATCTTCTACCTGTTGTTGCCGGTGAAACCCAAGTTAGCTTGTTGGTTGATGCTTTGCCTGTTTTGAGAACATTGGATGGTGGGGTCTTTTCATAAATTCATAATAAGTCATCCATGGAATTTACAGAGAATTTATTCTTTCTTTTATTCTTTTTTCTTTTTTTGCTGGGGTATTTTTATGTTCATCTGTTTGTTTTGAAAAACCAAAAAAGAAGAAAGAAAAAGAAAGGACAATTAAATATGAACAAACAATAATATTATGGGGAAAGTTGTATGAAATAAAAGATGCACATGGAGAGCCCTTAGCTATTTTTGTAGGAGTGATGTTGCGACATCATTCAATTTGCTATGTCTAGTGACTGAATATAATAAATTATCCTTGCTTTTCTCAGCTATTGGCTCTGCATCGGACTTCTTCTACACCAGCAATTTTTTTTAGAAATAAAAAATTATCTATCAATCAAAATCAAGGGTTCATAGAATAATATTCTCTTCTTTATGCGCTTATACCATTGTCTGACTCTGAACCAATGTTTTCCAACTAGACTTACCACCATGCCCATTTGCATCACCGGTCATGGAGTAAAAGGCTTAAAAAGAAATGGAATATCTTATATATGCAGGAGAAGAAGTTGCCTACACTCATTTCAAACGGGTGTCTCATGTATAATCCATGTGCCACTCATATGATATACCAAGTGTGAGACATCCGTTTCATGAAACGAGCGTAAGCACGTATTTTTCTTTCAACAGTATATGTGACTTTTCATTTTCAATGAGAGCTTATCTTCAACATGACCACATTAATATGGCTATATGATGATTGTGTAATCATGGAGCATGTGCTTTGGTGTGGTTCCACTATGAGCATTTCTATATGAATTGCACAGCAACAGGAACATAGCCTTGATGCAGGGATAATGTAAACAAGTTTTTAACTGGATTATAAAAAAAATGGATAGAAAAAAAGGGATCAAGAAAAATAAGAGGTTGGGATAAGGAATTTAAAAGTAGTAATTATTACATATCACCTTTCTTTTTTCTCCTTTGGATGTAACCCATCGTGTCTTATTATTATAGGATCATGACATCAAATGTCAACATGGCTGTAAGTACTTATTACAATATTTAAAAGTGCAGCATCTAGTTTTTAATGTTTGTGTGTCTGGTTTAAGAACTACGAGGAGGACGAGAGTCAAATGTTAGGCAAACTTAACGAATCAAAACAAGTCCTTTTGAGGTGATGCAGTTTCCCTGTCGTGCAAGGTTTCTTCTCATTACAGTCAATTCTTAAAGATTTTAGCCTCATGTCATGTGCATTTAAGGCATATTGATCAATAATGTGCTTGCTTGCATCAAAGCCAGTTTCTTCATCAATTTATTATTCAGAATCTATGCATTTCCTAAATGGACCATAATCCCGTGTTATTCTTTATATATATGAAAAAACACACACATAATGAATTGAATTGAAAGCACCAAGTTGAAATGCGAGTGAAATTAAGCACAGAATACCTATTGTATATTTTCATCTTACCCTACTTGAAGGTTGGGTAAAGGCCGACTACGTACCTTTACCATCGATTTAATCCAACTTGCATGATAAGGTAGGGAGAGTTTTTCATTTTCATGGTTATATTTCACAGAGTATACCCAAACACAAGAGTTCGTCAGGTCCTCCCATTGTATATATGTGACCCCTCACTCAGCTCATCCCAATTGTAAGCATCATCAATAAAACTAGACAGAAATGTAATACAAAAACATGCAACTCTAACCATTACCCCTCACTCAAGTCATCCAAGTGATTTTTTTCAGAGATGATCTTTGAGGGAATATCTAAAAATTAGACAGTTCGGATCATTGAAAGACAATGCATGGTGGACTCCACAAAAGTTTTGTAATATCCCGAAAAATTCAAAGTGGATTTTTATATTTCAGTGAAAAATAATATTATGGTGGAGAATGATTATGAGTATTTTATCAAGTGATTTTAGATTAAGATTATTAAATTAAGTGTGTTTAATTTTAAGTTGGACTGTGATTTTGGATTGAGATTATTAAATTAAGTGTGTTTAATTTCAAGTTGGACAAAAATGATCAAAATACCCCTACGTGTGAAAATTACCAAAATAACCTTGTAGGCCCCAAAAAAAAAATCTGAAATGTGGAGTGCATCAAACCACCCTCCTCCCATTCTACCCTCCCTTGCCTCAAGCTTTCAAATCCACCATTTATGAAAGGATGAGTCACCTATTCTAAATTGATGACTCACCTAGCCTAAGATTCTCCAATCATGAATTTATTCTCTTCCTCCCCATTCAATGTATTATCACTCTCTTTTAAATTGATGACTCACCTAGCCTAAGACTCTTCAATCATGAATTTATTCTTATCCTCATCATTTATTGTATCATCACTCTCTTCCTCATTCACAATATTTTCATCCTCGTCTTCTTTTATTCCTCTTCAAAATCCAAAATTCGTCACTTCCTTGGAGCAACCAAGAACTCAAATATTGAAAGCTCAAATGAGAAAACTTCCATAAAAGTTGTTCATTTACGTGATTCCTATAACATGCTCCAATTTCACCTTAATCCAACTAGCACAGACTCTAAAAATTTGGTATGATCACAATAAGTTTACCATTTCCTGATTTCACAGTAGTATGCTTGGTTTCAATATGTTTATGCGATTTCATGTACTCAAATGACTTTGGTTCCTTCATCAAAGTTGTTTGAAATGCTGTCTATTATAATATATCAAAAGTTTAGGTTGATCGGACTTCTATAGCCACCTTGGGAACGTTTAGAGTGGAACTTGTTTATAGTCTTCGACCCTAGTTCCTTCCCTCGGTTTCAATCCAAAACACTCATTTCGAAAGCTCAAAACACTGTAGTTTCTTCATGATAATTACTCCAAATTCTCCTCTTTATAACATATCCAAAGGTCAGCAAAACGCAACCATTATAATTCTTTGAAAATTGGTATGAGCCAAACTTGTTCATTGATTATATTGAATTTCTTGTTATAGATGTGTACTTTCTCTCAAATGGCTTGTTACTTATCATTCCATTGATCAAATTAGCCACTATCATCTCAAGTAAATGATTCGAAGGTATGAAGCTCATCTTCATATTGTCTCTTTGAGTACTAGTTGTAAATCAAGTGTTGGTTAGAATGCCTCAATGACATATATCTCTTTCAAAGTGTGTTTTTGTGAAGTTCTAGATTATTTCGATGTGATTTTGTACCAATTTCATTCTGGGATTTTGTTACATCAAAATT